ACATGTGGTTGTCAGCAAGCACTATCATCCGCTTTTACTCAAAGATTTCAGAATGGCTTTAGCAATTCAATCTGGATTTTGTTTTCCAGACTTATCATTAGTTTCTAATTTTTCTTTCAAATTTCAGTTCAATCAATTACAAAGACAAGCTTACCAGCATCAATATTCCTACAAAAAAGGTGTTAGTTTTGTCAGATGACAAAATAAATGTACATGCATGTTTTAAAGCTCGATGTGAGAAAAAATAAAACAAGTGACTTGATTTATCATACTTCAAACATCTAAAAACATGCACACAGATAGCTTTTATAATTTTACCATAAGCAAACTTTTCTTTAAAGTTTATCAGCTAGAGCTAACAAATATAAATGAACGTACATATTGTATTAAAAAACAAACTACATTATATTTAACATCAGGTAGTGCCAAGCCAGATTCTCCTCAGCCATTTTTAGCTTATCAGTACATAGAACTGGGCCATTAGAATTTGGTAATCAATTAATAATCGGGCTCATTAATCAATTATTCTAGCACGAGAATTGGAATAATTGGAAACACTAATCAATTAAGCTGAAAGATCTTGAATTAACAAAAGATATAATAATGATAAATAATAATGGCAATATTTTGATTATTTGGATAGTTGGAATAGTCCAAATATAACAATTGGAAACACCAATTTCCATTGGTACTGATATTTTTATTTTTGCCAATATTCTTTCCATTGCACTGATACTCTGAAATATATGCCCAACACTATTTTTATTGAGTTATTTTTTTTCCCTCATACCAAAACATAGACATCATTTATGTACATTGGGTACAATAATAAGAGGGAAATGCAAACATTCACATTGGTTCATGGTATTTCTACCATTGTATTTTCAGATTTGAACTGCTGCACTCTCTTTGATCTCATGTTCAGCTTGGAAGTGAGGGAGCTGCTGCTAACCCAAAATGGTTGCTTGCATTTTACATAACCCTTGAAGTAATAAACCTCTTCTCTGTCAAGTATACCTACTGCTGCTATAAGAGTACAATAGCAAATGTAAATTTTTGAGTCACTATGGTACCAGCTATAAAGTAGTAAAAGAAAACAGCTTATTTTATGTATTCAAAAGATATTTCCAATAACTTTCTAATAAACCAACTTACTATCACATACTTGACAGATGAGAGAGAGAGAAAAAAGTTTTACTGTATGCATTTTAATAGTTTAAAATCTCCAAGGTTACCTAAGTTCAAAACAGTTGGGAATGTATAAGCCTCTAAAAAGAAGAAGAAGAAGAAGCAGAAGAAGAAAAAAAAAAGAGCTGGAAGACTTAACAATAAAATTAACTTGTTCCCAAAAGTTTTCTTTCTAGTTTGATGTGTTAAGATCCACACCTAACATCCAATATACAAGTTGTAACCAATTAATAAAACATATTGCACAATATGTTTTACAAATATTTGCAAAAACATTCTCAGAACCTCTTAAGAAGTCAAAAAAATTAGGCAGTAGCTTTATAGGGTAAAACTAGTAACCTAATAGCTGGATCCAAAGAGAGGAAAATGCAAGCACGTGTTCTCAACAGATGAACTCAATTCATCAATCTGTTGAATAAAAAGAAAACTAAAACCTATCTACCACTAAACATAAACAAAATCAGGCTGACTGCAAAAGCATTATTACTGCTGTTTTAAATTTTAGAATCAGTTTGGCACTACTAAGTTTCAAATATTCTCAGAAGTAAATTAATTTAACTTACAAAAATTCCAGTGATTAACCCTTTAAATAATTTAAAATTTAGTTGTATTAATTGTAGGGTAGTACCAATAACAAACTTTAAAGTAGACTTCTGCTGTTATTTAATTGCCAAAACTAGGACGAAGTCAATGCCTTCACAAAATGACTACCTAAAGAACTTTGCTAAGTTATATAAAGTTCCCTAGTTTTTATTGACTTTTAACACACATAGCTTTCTTTAAAGCATCACTTTTAAAATACATAAACATTAAGTTTTCTAATAAAGAACTAAAATGACCAAAGCCAGTCTGAAATCTTCTGAATTGAAGAAATGCAACATGTTGGTTAGTATCAAAACTTAAATGATATACACACTTTTTTTATAGATTGCATTAACTCTGTATTATGTAAAAGTTGCAAACATACCTGAAATATATACAAGCTTAGTAAATAAGGTTTAGAACAAAACAGACAACTTGAGCATGCATGTACAAAACAGTTTTTGCCATTTGTAAACAAACATGAGGAAACACTATACCTACCCATGAGTATGGCAAGAATACAAACTTAAATACTGAAATAAACATGTATTTTCAACTGAAACATCTGCCCTAATACAGCAAATAATGTAACTATTAACACGTTTCTTCATTTTTCTTAGTTCAATAACACTTCAATCAAAAAGCGTTAATTACAGTGAAGGACAATGTTTTTAATACCATGAAATGTTGTTGTTTTAGAGTAAAAGTCCTACTCTGGTGTAAGAGTTAAATGTAAACATGAATTTATTAACAACTAAAAGTTGATATAATCTGTTAAAAATTGTAATTCAAATTCTTTACAGCCATCCAACATTCAAGGCAAACCGTTACCAGGTGATCACTTTTTATAATTCTTTTGTAACAGAAATATTTGGCAAAGGGTTTAGCTGTGTTACATTGTTTTGACACGTACACATGTAGTTCACTTCACTTGTTAGAATATAACAGTCGCAAACTATTTCAGTCAGAAGTTGCACTACTATACCTCAAATAGAAAAATACTACACTCTCCCCCACAAACAACAAGCATAACCACATTTAAAATGAATTAATTAAACTAAAAGTAAATTCAGCTTAAGAAAATCATTTCATAAAGTATTTTGCAACTGTGCATACTACAGTGACTTTTAATCTATATATATGTTATGCAGTGGTGGCCTAGCTTCAAAAAATACCCAAGATACACTAAAATAAGGGGTTGATGATTATTGAGGAGAGTACAATTAACTCACCAACAGCTAGTAACTACAACAACTTTGTAGGAACCACAAGGTTCAATCCAAATTTGAAAGGGCCTAATATCTTGACGACCTGAAGGTTTCAAAAGCTACTTTCTTATCACTTGTGTTTTTTCTAATTTCATAGAGTAAAACACAAAAACACTTATGAATAATAAGTGGTAGTGATTGAAGTGTTATTCAATTTACTCTTGCTCAGCAACAAATCTCATACAGTTATCTGGCGAGTACTGCAGTTCCAATCTATATTAGCTCTAGCTAGATTTGTGATAGTGTTATCCAAAGAGTTTTTGTCCGCTTTAGATATGCGCTAGTACTTTGTGTAGATTTGCTTTATGTGCACAATTTTGTGAAATATTTTATCATAATACACTGAATGGCTTGTTGAACGTTGGATGGAATAAGAAATGAAATATCATTATACTGTTTATCCTTTCTTAGGCCATTTCATACTAAATAAACATTGTAAAATTTATAGAACTGGTTGCTTGGCACAGTAAGAAATTTAGTCATAAGAAAAGATTAGTAATGTGAGAGAACAAAGTCATTATCATGCAAACACATCACCTTAGAGAACCTTTAAAGGTGAATAGATTTATACACTAGTATTGAATAATATTAATTTACTGACTGTGCATTATGGCTAGGCCAAGCTTAAACAGTAGCAATAGAAACCTTTAGACACTTTGTTTTACCTATAAAGATTAATTGAATACATTAAAAAGCACAAAAAAGAAAGCACACTGTCTAATTAATTTAAAAGGAACTAATGTGTTTGATGGATTTTCTTTGGGTGTAAATAATTTTTTTAAACATGTACAACCTGATATACATGTAAATATGCAGAAATGAATTTTGATAATAATTTTCATTGCCAGCCTCAAAATCTCAGCCAGATTTATCTTTAATAATTTTTCTTGAACTAAGATATAAACAAATGTTTATATTTTAGTGATAACACCTATCTGAATTACTAAAATAACAGCAATTGATAAGCTACCCAACAAAATAACATTTTTATTGTATATGTTTTCTAGTAGCTTCAATTCTAGAATGACTAAATTAGCTAAAAAGAGAGGCTGCTATAGCAAACTATATGAAAGCTTTACCAATTTAATATCATTTAAAGAAACAAAAAAGCATTTATTAACCAACTGGTCCGCAAATAAGTCTGAAACATGTAATACACCCACCTCGCTGCATTTCTAGGTGTTTAGACAAGATTTGTAATATAAAGCCGTATTCTGTAGAATTCAAAGCAATAGTGAAGATTGTAATCTGAGTATTTGTAAAAATTTTAAACTCAAGCAAACAATATAATGGAAAGTAAAGTCCAGAAAATCCAAAACATATGTTAATTGAGTACATATAATCTCTGATATAGGTGCAGATGAGCAACTTTGGGCATGGTAAGCAAGAAAAAGTATCTCCAAAGCAACCGAGATAACTGAAAAAATAATAATAATTATGGAAATGTTAGCAATACCAATTTCTTGAGAAAACTTTTTAAAGCAATTAGATTTTTGTGCTTCCCCAAGTGCAGTGTAGTTAGAATGCAAGTAGCCAAGCAACCAAATTCTAATTTTGTAAAGTGAGCATATTTTGTGTACAAACAAGAGTAACATTCTATGTAATTTGTGTGCATATAAAAATATCAAACTCCAGGTTGGGTAGAAATTAACAAGTGTTTAGTACACATTTTTAACCAAATCTTATATAAAAAAAAAATAGAGTGACTATAATTATTTAAAAATTTTAGGCATTTAAGTATTTAATGTGATGTAATTTCGAGTTGATCAATTGCATATTCATAACACTGCATTTTATTCCTTAATATTTTCGTTTTATCTTAGAAAGTTAAATGAGTAATTCATGACTTTGTGACACTGCATTAAAGAAATTTTCATGTACGTTGCACTAATTCACAACCCTTTGCTAATATGAAGCAAATTTCCATTACTTAATAATGGTATAAAAGCACCATTTGCTCACCTTCTGTTCTCATACGCTTTGATTCAGCTTCTTCCAAACCTTCAAAGGATCGTTTTCTGCCTAAGATGGGCAAATGATTCATTGTCACACTGTGGGAAAGGTTGCCATCACTATTTCCAGTCTCCATCATATCCTGCCTAGAGTCTTTAAAAATTCCATTCATTCCAGCTGAACCGTTTAGGTGAAACCCATTCTGGTAAATTCCATTTGTAAGATTTCTTTCCGGGAACATATCAGAATTGCCATTCACACCCATACTATTCTGAGCCATACGGGGCTCAGTTTCGCCTAAAAATGAGGCCACAGCATGGTGTCCACACATTGTTGCTAGACTGGTTGGAGTTTGACCATTGTTGTTGGTAATCCTGCATGTACAATATACACAAATATCAGTTTTCAAAACAATAATAAGAAGACATTAATCTCAAGAACTGCATCAGTGTTCCAGGATGACATCAATTTACAAAATATATGCCTAACCTATAACATCTGAACTTGAACTTAATAAGCTCTCAGTAATTTAGATTTAGTGCTGATAGAACCTTATGTTTTAGCATCACACATTCCTATTCCAAAATAGATAAAATATCACGGGGAAAAGATCAACTTGCACATTAAACCCTGTGGTTAGAAGATTGTACTTCTAAACAATGAATCTTTAGCATAAATAGCTAAAAACAGCTGCAATAAAACATTCCATATGTAATAAAAACATTTTTTGAATTATTTCAGCTTCTTATTATTCCTTTAGAAGTGGCTTATATTTTTATTTGAATTGGGCATGTACTTAAATAAAAATATAATCAAAGTGAAGTGGTGACCTTAATGGCAATGGGTTTGAAATTTGAATTACATAAAGCATTAAATGCAAAAGACAAATAAAAGAAAGTACAGGGAAAAGAAAAACATTTCTTATTTCAATATATTATTTATTAAGCATGGGAAAGTGTAATAACTTTAGAATTATATTTGTTTTGAATTTCGCGCAAAGCTACACAAAGGCTATCTGCACTAGGCATCCCTAATTTAGCAGTGTAAGACTAGAGGGAAGGCAGCTAGTCATCACCACCCACCGCCAACTCTTGGGCTACTCTTTTACCAACAAATAGTGGGATTGACTGTCACATTATAACACCCCCACAGCTGAAAGGGCGAGCATGTTTGGTGTGACGGGAATTCGAACCCGCAGATTGAGAGTCGAGCGTCCTAACCACCTGGCCATGCCGGGCTTAGAATTATAAAGAATATAAATGAGGTTTAATTATGTTAATTTTTAAGGCTAATTAATAGCTTGTATGATGAAGAAAAATGCAAAAATATTTATATTACAAATAAATTGAAACTCCATCATGCTTATACAAAATGGAATTTTCAGAGCAATGATACCCCTAATTTGGATATTAACACATCATGGAGGTAGGTACAAAACACCTTGATAAACAGCAAAGCACAATCTGTGATGTCTGTTTATTTTGCACTATATAATAACTATCATTTTGTGTTTTTACTGCTGAAACCCTTCATTCAGCAAAAAACAAAAACAAAACATTTAAGATATGCCAATATGTATAGCAGAAAATTTTCTTTATATTGAAAATCACATCAGTAAAATGATACTTTGCCCATTTAAACCGTTACCAATTTTTACATAAAGAGAAATTCTCTCAAAATTGTAGTTGCATTTTTAGCCACAGCATGGTGGTTCATAGAACAGCTCTGAGTCGTTTTTTCAAGTGCAAAGCTTTGTCATCTTTTGACCATGTTGAGATCTAATTACAGTTTTGGACTCGGGAGGTCAAACCCTTTCGAGTGAAACATTTGACAACACCCAAAATCTCATAAATTAATTTACTCTAATCCTGCCTAAAAGAATTTCAATTTGAGGGTAGGCTGGTAGAGATCTTGATCAGTAATAAAACTGAATTAGGTAAATGCATGCCCCATGCTTGGTATTTCTGGCATACAAAAATATATCAAATGCAAAGGGGGAAATAAACCTCTTAAATTAATTTACTCTAATTCTGCTTAAAAGAATTTCAAGTGCCACAGCTATTGAAGATTCTCTCTTGTTTAGTATAGACTTTATCAGATGTGCATTTAGAGATTGGTCAGTTTTTCTAATGCTTCTTTTGGCAATATTAAGTAATCAACTGTAAACAAGATTGTCTATTAAAAGACAAAAAGTCACAGTTATTCTCAAACTAAAATAACTAACTTTTACTGATTTACATAATCTATCTACTTAGGACAAGGTACCTTCTAAATATTTAAGGTACTAATGCTGCTATAGCATACCTGAAATTACTTTTTCTATTTAAAGAAGAAATACAAACTAGAAATATGGTTGCAATATATAATACAATAGATAGGATAACTTCCTTATTTTTACCCCATTTCCTATACAATCTTTAGGTCATCAGCTTAACAATATGCTTCAAACAATGAGGTCAAGACAGACTGTAACTGTACAATTGCACAGAATATTATGAAGAGAGCTTGGAAGAAATCTGTTAAATTATATTCAACTTAAGTAATTTAATCTTTCTCAAATTAAACTTTGTCCAAAGAAATTGCTATCTCATAAACAATTATAAAAACCTTATATTACATTATTTTAATGTTTATATTAATCTTTATCAAATTAAAAATATCCGAAACATAAAAAAAATTCTAGCCATAACCATACAAATTGAAAACAACTTCAATAGTTTTATTCATAATTGTACCAACATTTTTAAATCATGGACCAGCTGATGTGATTTGAAAAACATAATTTTTTATGGTTTTTATGCTAGCCCTACAGTACACGTGTTTTTAAAAAGTCTTTAAAATACAAATTACTTGACAACACGTGAGGATGTAAATTTACCATACAGAAAATCTGTAATATTAACAGGGGTATGAAATTGAAAAGAAGAAATCTGAGGAAACTTGCACAAGCAGGGACATACAAAGCAATCCACTTTCTTCGTGTTACACACCATCATGGCACAAACCTCTCTAAGAGCTATCGAACATATGTAATTTTTCGAAATTCCCTTTCTTCTCACAATCTCATTACTACGTGATGAGATTATTGGTGGCAATAAGCATGCTGCTTCACATACTCTTGATGATTTGTACGAGTCTCAGGACCCATTTTTTTCAAATGAAAAGCACAGATTTCCATGAACTTTTCATATCCTGTTTGATACATTACACACAATAATGACATGTTTAATACTCTTCAAATTTAAATATTAACATTATACAAGTCAACTAAGTAGCTTAACAACATCCGAGTATTAGAATATATGTATAGCCTTCATAAAATATAAATACTGTTGACAGTTTAAAATTTTTTTTTCAATCTGTTTACTTCCAGTTAAAAGTTTACTGGTGTAGACATTTCAATGTTATGTTCACAAATATTTAAATTAACAACTCAAACCTTATCTTAGAGGATTTTACTACACTAAAGCTTATGGGACTGCATATCTTTATGAGAACAAAATCTGAACTTTGTGTTAAGCACAGAACTGCTACACAATAAGCCATCTGAGCTGATGTTTTAGATAAAGACTATTTACCAAGTTTGATGTCTTTTCCTAACAGTATGCTTGGAATTCATTCTTTCTACAGAATGGTTCAAATGTAATTTTAAAAAATGTTATAAAGCTAATACCATACAGTCATAGCAGTAAGGAAATATGTTGAACAAGAGCAATCAGAGAGATTGCATACCCTCACCCCATCAGGCATTTCAAAGATTTCATACATTTATATTAGATAATGTAAAATTTCACTTCTGAAAACTTAAAATCTTTCTCACATCCAGATCATTTTTTGTAGTGTGATGAGGGGTCTCAACCTTAATGTGCCCATGAAATTCAGTACAAATCAGATCACACTTTACAGTTATTAATTGAAAACAGTGAAAATGCCCTATATCCCCATTATAAAAATGCTTAAAAGTGACCCAGAATTTGGATCCAGACCAAATTTAGGGAGGATTGTCCAATACTGACTTCCCATCTTGTGTAAACATCAGCCTGTTAGTTTGAGATACAGACACACACAAGGGCCAGATTGAAATACCCTTCCAGAGCAAGGGTCAATATACTCTATTCTACATTATGACCATTCTATTTTAAACTCTTTACATTTGTATCCTTAAGAAGACTTTTCTAATATAAGAAGAGTCAAGCATGGATTAACCCTACCTACACAATGAACCAACTCCAAATTCAAGAATTAATGTTCATTATAATTGCAAAGTTTCTTAGTGTAACTGTACAAAATTCGACAAGCTTTTAGTAAACATTACAATCATGTTGTGCACAAAAAAAAAAAGAAAATCAGGATTTTTAATAAAGTATTTGATTTGTCTCTGAGTCTACTTTAGTCATTCTGAATGCAAGGCAATTTTTGAGTTAATAAAAATACTTTTTTCTTCTCACAGTTTACAAATTTCTTCTTCATAACCTCTAGACCACCTAAATGAATATCAAAATTTTAATTCAGTAAAACCTTATATTTTCTCTACCCTAATAATAAATGTGCCTGGTCCATTAAACCGACCTTGTAATCAACAGTAAACACTAAACAAGTTTAAGTTACACCTTTTCTTTCTAGAATAACTGCATGTTGCAACAGAAAACTACAATTAACACCCTTGACAGCCTCAGACTAACGACACCTTACATCTTTTCTATGTCATTATTTTATTGCCCTGTGAACCATGTCTAATTTCTAAACCTGTGACAAATTTATAAATAATCCAACAAACATGCAGCTCAAGTTACAGTAAACAAAGTATTGAATTATGTAATGCACAAGCAGATCACGTGCATATTTCACTCAGAAATTATATTTTTTATTTTACCCAAGTTTCAAATTTTTAATTTTAGTTACTTTTATAACAATAAATAAAAAGAATACATAAAAACAAGAAATTTAGTACTGGCCACTATTTTTTTTTTGCTTTCAACCCTCTGATGAAATTTAATCTTAGTTCCTTGTAACCTTATTTTTTGTACCAATGATAATAGTGCATAAAATTATTTTTTTCATATATATGCAATTGAGAACAAAATATTAACATGCAAAAATTATAATTTGAGGCAACCTTGTTAATAGCGTCCATGAATCTGTAGACTGAATTCAAAACCTATAGTGTGAGCAAGCTAGCCTTATAAAGAAATCAGTAAATTGAAATTTCCTCTTACTATTGATTATAAATATTCCAATAGCAAATGACAAAGAAAATTGACATTTTTTGAAAAAAGGGCATGACACATGGATTTGAGTTTCTGCTTTACATCTCCAGAGAGCAAGACTATAAAATTTGATTATGCCATATCAATATCTATAATATAAGTGTGTA